GAGGGAAGGGACAGTGAAGGAAAACTTCAAGATAAGGGCATTATCATACGACTCAGCTAGGGAATTAACAGTGGGCTCAGGGAAACTTACCTTGAACCTGCCCTCCTCGGAGCGAGTGACTGTCCCGCTCTGTTTGTCTCGAAAAGGCTCCAAAATCAGCCTCTGTTGGCCCGGTTTGGTGGTGGCGGTGCCCGATACCGCATCTCGAAAAGAACGAGCTCCGGGAGGCCGGCCTTGGTTCGCCGGTTGGGGAGGTGGGTTGGTGATGTTAGGGCCTTGGCCATGGCTGCCCCTTTGTGAGTGTTCGCTGAGCTCTGCCGGTGGAGAGGTGGCTGTCGGGGAGGGTCCGCGTCCAAGTACCCCGGATGTTGTTTGGCCGGGCCGAGAGCGGTTCGGCAATGTTGCAGGCACCGGGGCAGGCTGGGAGTTCACCGGGGGGGAAGGCATCATTAGTGGGCCGCCGCCCGTCAGGGTCTGGTCGTCGCCGGTGCCGGAACCGGCAGGTGCGGTACTGTCCGACGGCAGGAGGGTATTGTCTGATGATAATGGCGGAGGGGATAAAATCTGATGCTCGTGCAGAGAAATGGGTCTGAAGTGGGGATAACGGATTGGTGGGTTGGGCCCGGTCTGTTGAGAGCTAAGGGAGTGGTTGGGCCCCTTTAAAAGGAGAGGGGGATTGGGCGGAATAGCAGATTGGTCCAAAGAGAGAGACGGCCCACCTGGGGCCTTACTTGGATCTGAGTTGGGCTTAGTGGGAAGCCCAAATTTTTGGCCCTCAAGATGGTGAGCTGAGGGAAAGTCGGGTGATTCACAGGGAGGGTTTGACTTTGAGCTAGCTACCTCTTGCGCCGTGTGGAGGTTCGTGATTGGCAAAGTGTAAGATGGTCTTGCCGGGGCAACCGCGGCTGGGGGTAGAGCAAAACTTCCCGGTGAGGATCCACCTGCGAGCAGCGGATCTGTAACAGCAACTAGCGGCCCGGTGGGTGATGGAGGGACTGCGGGTCGAGGACCACCATGGGGTTTCGTGGATCGGGAATGAGATCGGTCAATCGATTGAAAAGCAGATTTGCAGATTTGCTTAAGGTTTGTTGTCCAGGATGAGATTTTGGCATGGAGGTCGCCGGAGGAAAAGACCTGATGTCCGAATGAGGGCCCTGAGGGGAATGTTCTGTCGGCGCTCGGAGATGTCACCATGATAGAAAGAAAAGAAAAGGGGAAGAGAGGCGGGGGAGAGAGGAGGTGGAGTGAAGGAGGATCCGGCCCCAAGGGCGGCAGCTCGCCGCCCTTGACGAGTGTCGGCGAGACTTAACTGGGGGGGTTAACCGTAGAGAGGGGGGAAAGTAGGAGGAGGAAGAAAGGGAGGGTTTTTAGAGAGAGAAAGTTAGAGAGAGGTAGGAGCATTTTTTTAGACTTCTTGTTTGTATCTCTAGTCAGTTACCAAAATATCCAACGCTTCATTTGTGCTTTTATGCTTCTAAATAAATGTAATAAAATGTATTACTCCCTCGTATTGTCGTTTTGGTAAGTTGTACAGTTATTAAGTACATTTTTTTGCGAATAATAACTTTCATTAATGAAGACGGATAGAGATACATATTTTGAGAAAAAATGAAGAGTGAATATGAAAAGACGTGGATGGGGATAATAATGGAAAAATATGTAAAAAATATCAAAATCGACATTTATTTTGTTAATAGTTGATAATGTCTATTGAAGTATTAGTTTTCATATTATATGTTTGGTTTTATTAAAACCGTGTTTTAGGTGTTAACAACTCTAGTTATGATTGTATAGGTATAAATACCCTCATTAGGGTTTTCTGTACTTTACTTTCACTTTTATTTTTTCTCTCGTCCTTTCATCTCTCTCTCAGAATGTTTCTCTCTCTCTCAATCTTTCACTTGTAATTTCCCATCTGTAAGCAATAATCTTTCAGTTCTGAGTGAAATGTTTATGTTCTTGTTCAATCTCTGATTCAATATGGTATTCTTCGCCGAGTTTTTTCAGATCCTGTTGGCGATCTAGATTTCTCTTTCCGCTGCGTTCTTCGATCTCGTTTTTTTTTTTCGATTTTCGATCTATTCGTGATTTCGATCTTAGATCACTCTGATCTAGATCTCGATCTCGATTTCGATCAATTTTTTTGTGATTTTTTGTTCGATTTGTGATGGCTGCTTCCACATCTCACACGCCGACCGACGATCCTTCCTCTCCGTACTTTCTGCATGCCGGCGATAATCCCGGCGCCCTGATTATTGCAGATCTATTCACGGGAGACAACTACATGTCCAGGTCTCGTGCTGTTTAGGTGGCTCTAAGCGTGAAAAACAAATCGCCTTTCATCGATGGTCCTCTGGTAACCCCTACCCTCTGATAATCGCACTGAATATGTTGCATGGGTAAGGGCTAACAATCTTGTGTTATCTTGGCTCTTGAACTCTATTTCAAAAGACATCAGACAATCTCTCCTGTTTTTTACCTCTGCAAAAGATGTCTGGGATGAAATTAGGTCTAGGTATGCTTTGAGTAGTGGCCCTAGGATCTTTTAGCTTGAAAAGTCTCTGAGTACTATGGATCAGGGTGCACTTTCTGTTACTCAATACTATACTAATTTCAAATCCCTATGGGATGAATACATTACCTATAGACCTGTTTTCAAATGCGTTTGTGGTGCTATGAGCAGCTGTTCCTGTCACATTTTTGAGTCTATGACTGCTGCTCAACAAAATGATTCAGTCATGAAGTTTTTGATTGGTTTACATGATTCCTATGCTTCCATTCGCAGTCATTTCTTACTATCTTCTCCATTACCATCTTTGTCTATTGTTTACTCTCTTTTACTGCAAGAAGAGAGTCAAAGGTCTCTTCACAACAAGTCTTTTGATTCTGTGGCTATGATTGCAAAATCTCAAAAACCTTTTAAGAGCAATGTTCCTAAAGATAAAAAGAAAGTCAAATGTGCTCATTGTGGATATAATCACCCTACTGAAAAATGCTATCAGATCATTAGATACCCTGCTGATTGGGTAGGTCCTAGGGGTCCCAGGTTTCATCCCAGTCGTTCTCAATCTCATTCTGCTAACATATCCACCTCTACTCCTATTTCCACTACTTCTGATAAATCTTCCATGACTGATGTTCTGTTTCATGAGTTCTTAGAGTTTAAGAAATCACAAGAGCTTAAGCAGAGCAACAACATAGCTCCTGCTGTGGCCAATGCTATTTCTGATCAGTCAGGTATCTCCATGACATGTCTTATTAATTCTGAATTGCAAAATCATACTTGGATTCTTGATACAGGAGCAACTGATCACATGATTTGCAATATTGCTCTTTTTACTAACACTCCTGTTCCAAAAACTATTAAAATTAATTTACCAAATGGACAATACACTTGTGCCAGCCATGTGGGACAGATTCATCTGGGACCTAATCTTGTGCTGGACAATGTGCTTTTGTTCCATCCTTTTCTTTTAACTTGATATCTGTTTCTAAACTAACCTCCACTAACCAATGCATTGTCAATTTTGTTTCTTCCTCTTGCATTATACAGGACCTAC